ATACAACAGATATCGAAAGGGAAAATCGGGATCGCTATATTATCTCTATTTTTTCTTTTCATTTTTAACATGAAACACTCACACGCACACCACAACACTGACAATAGACAATACCAATTATCAATTACATGACATATATAAAAAATATATAACTTTTTTAAGTACATATTTGTCACAGTTTTGATTTTTAAAAAATCACAATATTGATTTTAGTTACCTGAAAAGCCATCTTATTTACTACTAGAAAATATGCATGTTTTTTCTTTGAGCTTGTCAGATGTGGACCAATCTAGATAATGAAGGTTCTAGGATTAGCAGCTGTACATAATTACCCTTTTGTCATTGTCCCTATTTCATTGAACACTCTCTGTATTTTATCTGAATTCAATTATAAGCAGAGATTTGGAGAAGAAGCTGGCAAATTCTGACTGGTGAAGTCAGAGCTAGATGCCTTTTACTTCATGGAAAGGTCATCACAATGAAATTCTGTAGTGACTTGGTATTGTTATACCAATAGCTTGCTAGAGTGGTCGTATTTCTAATAAAGTTAGTCAGAAATACTTGTAAACTTATAATGGTGCGGTGAACTGTCAATTGAGAAATTAAAATCACAATCAAATAATTGGTTACAGTTCATCATAAAATTGCATATTTGGGAAGTTATATACTTCTTATCACATTTTCTTATTGTTTTTCCATGTTGGGGGTCAACCCTTGAAAATATGTTAGGAGGAGTTGTAGAACAGTCTGCTTTGCTGAGTGGTATACTGTCATTGTGTTTGTGTGAGTGGATGATGGTGATTTTATGAGCATTAGTAATTTAATGGCACAACGGTGCTGTGAGTTTTCTTATAGAGAGTTAATGGAGTTAAATTGAATGTTTGGTGTTGGACACATGGCAGTAGAGAGACACTGGGACATGAAAATGGGACACAGAATTGGGACAGGTGATCCCGTGCCATATTAGAAGACTAAATACTATATTTACAAAGGAATTTGTTTTGTGTAGTGGGCATCAGTTGAATGAAAGGAGTTTGTTTTGTGAGATAACAAATATTTATATCTGTAATTATGAATGAATCACATCTATATATTTTATATTGAGAACTTTCTATTTTTGTGTGTGTGTGTGTGTGTGTGTGTGGTGAAAGTGAGTTATAACCACCAACCAATGTGAATCACCATCTCTTTTCAAATATAATTTTTTAAACGGCCTTATTAATAAGTGTTCTTAACATTTAAATTATAAAAAATATAATATTTGAAAGATACAATTTCAATAGTTTTTCATTGATTTTAAAAGTTGTTTACATTTTTATTTATTTCGAAAATAATTTTGCGAAGAATTCCAATATTAAATAATGTTCTGTTAGGATTTAAGATTTGTGACTTTTAATATTTGTACAATAGTAGCCTAATCACCTTGAGATAAGGAATGTTGTTAATGTGAATCACCTTCTTCCATATAGGAGAGTATATCTCTTGTTTAACCAAGTATTAAAAGCTTGTCTGTCCTGTTCTAGCCAGGAATTGGATTTAAGATGGCTATGATTATTTATTTGGTAGTTATACATTGTTAATTTTTACATTTTGACAAAAATTTATTTGTTGCAATCTTATAAAATGAAGTGAAATTTTCACTATATGTATGAATTGGAGATGATCAAGATCTATGATGACCTAACTATATGTATGGAATTTTTACATTTTGACAAAAAATTTATTTGTTTCAATGCTGGTTTTTCAATCACGGTTTAGTGTTGATTCTATATGTGGCTCAAAAGGTGAAATTATATACCAAAGATATAATCAAAATTAAAGAAACCACAAAAAGAGTACGCAAAAGCCATTTTACCAAGACAACTTGATATTCACCATTTTACCAAGCCATGATACTGTTTTAGCTAATCATAATGTGTGTTTTGTTCATCGATTATTATATGATTGTATGATATTTGGTAATGTTTTTTCTATACTTATTAGTTACTCATGTCTTAATTTCTATTGAGACTCAATTCATTTTAATATATTCTAATGTATAAAATATTAGAATTGTTGTTATGGTTAATTAATATGCATGTTCAGGTGTACAAAATATATATTTAGGACAAGTAAACAAAATGGACAAGAGTTGGATTGATTTGCCAAATAGGATGTCGAGAGAATACATGAATGGGATCGACCAATTTCTAGTGTTTGCATACACCAATAGGGTTACAAGTTCGATGATTTGTTGTCCATGTAGGAAATGCGAGAATCGCTATCATCTTGTCCAAGATAGTGTGCGAGAGCACTTGATTTCAAATGGCTTTCTAAACAAATACAAACATTGGATTAATCATGGAGAGTCGTATACTTCTGTGCATGGTAACCGAGATAATGAAGCCTTAGTGAATGAAAACATTAGGGATGATATGGTCGGAATGATACACGATGTTACTGGTATTCTGCTTCCTAGTACAAGTGCTGTAGGTGATGAACCACGGGCACCAACTAATCCCAATGTAGCAGAACCACTTGTAACTGATCCACAGTTAGGTCCAGATGTAGAGACTGCAAATTATTTTAAACTTTTAGAGGATGCTCAGAGTGAATTGTATTCGGGTTGTCAAAAGTTCACATCTTTGTCGTTTATTGTTCGACTTTTACATATGAAGGTGCTAAATCAGTGGAGTGACACTTCTGTTACCATGTTACTTGAGTTGTTGAATGAAGCTTTCCCTGAGGGTGCAAAACTTCCTGATTCTTACTATAAAGCTCAAAAAATCACTACAGATTTGGGCTTCACATATGCAATGTGGGATGCATGCCCCAATAGTTGTATGTTGTTCCGAAATGAATACATCAATCTTGTTGAATATGTTATATGCAAAAATTCTAGGTGGAAACAAAATGGAGCTAAAGTTCAAATGTTCCTCATAGAGGCAGTAAACGGATACCCTCTAAACAGATGAGGTATTTCCCTTTGAAGCAAAAATTGCAGAGGTTGTTTATGTCATCGAAAACGGCCAAGCTCATGAGATGGCATGCAGAGGAACGACAAGATGATGGTGTCTTAAGACATCCTGAAGACTCCCTTGCATGGAAAGATTTTGACCGTCGAAATACTAACTTTGCGGATGATTGTCGAAGTATAAGGCTTGGGTTAACGTATGATGGTTTTAACCCATTCAGATCGATGAACATAGTTTATAGCACCTGGCCTGTTGTTCTCATTCCATACAACTTACCGCCATGGATGTGCATGAAACAACCATTTTTGATTTTGTTTACACTTATCGATGGCCCAAAAGGACCTGGTGACAAAATTGATGTGTATATGTAACTGTTGATTGAGGAGTTGAAGGAACTATGGACTGACGGCGTCTCTACATTTGATGCATCAACAAATCAAATGTTTCAAATGCATGAAGCTTTGTTATGAACAATTAGTGATTTTTCAGCATATGCAACTTGTTAGGATGGAGCACGAAAGAAGAATACGTATGTCTATGTTACAATAAGGAAGCTAGATCGTGCTGGTTGAAACATGGTAAGAAACATTCATATTTAGGTCATTGTAGATTCCTATCTAGTGGTCATAAATTTCGAAAGGATAAAGTATCATTTGATGGTACTCAGGAATTGAGTCTCAAACCGAGACTGTTATCTGGATCAGAGATTTTGCTACAAGTAGAATCTGATGGTATCTTAACCCAATACAGCTGGATGACCTTAAAGAGAGGCATAGGAGACAAGTGGAAAGGGAGAAAGCTGGACCTCACACTCATGGTTGGAAAAAAAAGAGTATATTTTTTGAACTGCCATATTGGGAGCACAATCTAATAAGACATAATCTTGATGTGATGCATATAGAGAAGAATGTGTGCGATAATGTATTGTGGACAATACTGGGGGTTGCAAGAAAATCCAAGGATAATGTCAATGCTCGGCACGATCTGCAAGAAATGAATATTAGAAAACCCTTACACTTACAGTCAAGAGGGACGAATAAAGCTTATTTTCCACTAGCACAATTCACAATGACCAAGGATGAGAAATGTTTGTTCTTGCAAATGCTTAAGGAAATTAGAGTTCCTGATGGGCATTCATCTAATATCTCTCGTCGTGTACGGTTATAGGATAGAGGCATTTCGGGTCTAAAGAGCCACGATAGTCATATTTTGATGCAACAACTCATTCCTTTGGGTGTACGAGGATTGTTGCCTAAGAATGTTGCTCAAGCCTTGATTGAATTGAGTAATTTCTTCAGACAATTGTGTTCCAAAGTAAATCATCAAACGGATCTAGTATATATCCAAGGTCGTATAACACTAACACTTTGTCATTTGGGAAAAATATTTCCACCAACTTTTTATGATATAATGGAGCATCTGCCTATACACACTTAGGTGATGAAGCATTGGTGGCTGGAGCAATTCAATTTCGATGGATGTATCCAATTGAGAGATATCTTCTTACTTTAAGGCAATATGTACGTAATCGGGCTCATCCAAAAGGTTCAATGGCTAAAGGTTATCTTATGGAAGAATGTATGAATTTTGCGCTCAATATCTGAATGATGTGGAAACTAAATTGAATCGGCCTATAAGGAACTACAATCGTGCAGATAATATGGGTCGTGTTGTTGGTGAAACCATAACTTTCAACCTTGGTCATACTTCTTATGTACAGTGTCATTGATATATCTTGTTCAATACGAGAGTAGTTGAACCATTCCTAAGGTAGGTACCTCTTACTTAATATTTGTCAAGTTTTGTTTTTTTATTACATTTCAAATATTAATTTGTAATTGATAATTTTTCAACTTATATAGGAAACACCTTGAAGTACTTAAGATAAAAATGCCTCATGTTGATGAGCATCAACTCCAAAGTGAACATTTCAAAACTTTTCATACTTGGTTTAAAGAACACGTATGTATGGACAAATCTAGATATATATTACAACTTAGGTTGATTTGCGTTTTGAATTTGCTTTCTTGTTTTAAATAGGTTCACACTTTGAAAAGGACCGATAACGCCACATTTTCTGAAGAGATTCATACATTGGCAAATGGTCCTCATAACGGAGCAAGAAGGTTCACCGGTTACATAACTAATGGGTTCCGTTTTCGAGTCAAGGCTATGGATGACTGTTGAGCTAGTCAAAATTCTGGTGTAGCTTTGAAAGCAGATACTATTAGTTATGCTAGATGGAAGGACAAAAATCCTCGTGTGGGGGCTATGTACTATTATGGACAAGTGACAGATATCATTGAAATCCAGTACAACAATGCAATGAAGTATGTATTGTTCAAGTGTGACTGGATTGACAATGTTCGGGGGAAGAAAGAAGATAATTTCAAGTTCACGTTGATTAACTTCAACCATTCGTTGTATCGAGATAATCAAATCACCAATGAACCTTTCATCTTGGCATCCTAAGCTGAGCAAGTTTGGTATGTTGCAGACCCTATAGAATCAGATTGGCAAGTGGTTGTGAAGATGTCTCAAAGGGGTTTATTTGATATGTATTATACTGATCCAGAAACTAAGCCATATATGAGTCAACAATTAGAAGAAAATATAATGGTTCGTGATGAAGAAGTTGGCTGGGTGAGGGAAGTCGCAGAAGGAGAAATTGTTGATGTTGAAATGAGAGAGGATTAAGATATTTTGCAATAATTGTTGGGATTCTGTAATGACACAGTAAATTTTCATGCTTTAATGACCTACATATTTGGGCATGTTACTTTATTTAACAATTTTATGTGCTTCCAATTTATTTATTATGTTTGTATTGTATTTACATTATTAACTCCAAACTATTCCCTATATTTTCAATTGTATTTCTTACAGATTGTTATGGCATGGAAGAGGAAGCTTAATCATCCCTCTCGCACTATGGCTGATGTTTTGTGTATGCAGACACAATCACCACCACTATCACAGCCACCACCACCATCACAGCCACTGATACAGCCACCACCACCATCATAGCCACCGATACATCCACCATCATCATCACAATTGTCTCGACCAACGTCGTCTTCATAGGCCACCACAAGCATACAAATTTGTTATGTACTTAAATTATATTAATTAAATTATTTCATTTTCATTATACATAAACTTCCTAATTTCATATGCTAGGATCGACGACTTCTTCATATCCCACCTCAGGTACAGGTTTGCTTTCATGTATTTAATTTATGTTTTAATTTATATGTTGTTTATTATATTCTTACATAATTTGTTTATTCTTATAATGTGTTCCAAATCCAGCGACCGATTCACAAGCCAACTTAGGTATAACAAATGGTTATGTATCTAATTACGTTAATTCAACTACAAGTTATTTATTATCAATTTCTGTAATATGTGTTTTTTTTTCATAGTTCCTCACATGCCCTATAGTTTCTTTATCTTCCACTCGAGGTCGAGGATCTACGAAAGGCATTAAAGATTGGGATACGGGCAAGAAGTTGGCCATTGATTTTGATGCCGACTTCAATCCTATGAGAGATAATCAGTCTAAGTTAACTAGCCAACTTGGGTTCATGATACGTAATGGGAACATTGTTTCTTTTATGTACGTTGATTGGACCAAAGTGCCTATTGATGTTCTTGAGTCAATATGGGTGGACGTTAAGATAAAAGCATATTTATTAAATTGTTTAATTATATTATTAATTGAACTAATGATTTAAATTGTACTGTATGATAATTTACAAATTTGTTCGGAGGGGTACAAACCACGTTGCTTGAAAAAGTGCAATGACTTGTGGAAGGATCACAAAAACAAGATCAAGAATAAGTATTTTAAGCCTAATAAGGATCATCCTAATATTAAAGACATGGTACCCCCGCAAATTGTTCCAGAACAGTGGTATGATCTTGTTGATTATTGGAAGACTAAGAAAGTAGAGATATATAAAATAAGTTAATTACAAAGCACATAGCTTTAGAAAAATTAATAACTTTGTATACTTGCGACTTACATTTATGGAACCTTTATAGGACATTGCAGTACACAATGCTAGAAGTCGTTCCTTTCGTTATACTAATCATACGACAGGACGTACTTCATTCACTCAGATTCGAAGGAAGGTATATATTATTTAGGTAGATATCAATATGCATGTAAATTACTTAGATAATAATTAATTTTTGAATTTTCAGATGATTGCTGAAGGGTTGCCCACGGATAAAACGAGTGTTTGGAAATATACACGCAATCAAACTGACACTGATGTCAGGCAGACCCTGGTATTTTCAAATCCTTAAATTTGCATTTATATTTGATTTTGTTTGAACTATCTAATTATGTATATATACTTGTTATTTTAATTTATAGGATAAGTTTGAGCGCCAACTGTCCATGTTGCTTGAAGATTACCATACTACTGAAGATGCTCGAGATAGTGTTTTCCACAACGTGGTTGGTGAAGATGGGCATGGATATTGTCGTACTTATGGCAAGGATATGCCTTGGAGCATGGTGTATGGAGATAAATCTAAGTCATCACAGTTAGGATCTCAGTCATCGACTGTTGCTGAGATCACCAAGCAGGTTCGTATAGAGTTGAGACAAGAGCTGAGGGATGAGATTAGAGAGGAATTGAGGGAGGAGATGCGAGCAGAGCTTTTGACCCAGATACAATAAATGAAAGCTAAAATGTTGGCTATTGTATCCCGCGAAGGGAGTACAAATCACAACAAACAGGTTTGCTGTAAATAAATGTTTTATAAATATCTAATTGTAGCACAATTGTATCATTGAATATAAATACGATTAACAAGGAATATCACGAATATCATAGGTACCGGATGCATTGAGTGGCCACCGTGAACCTACGGATTATGAGGCCGATGAGAACCTATATACATCACCACCAGATGGTGAGGTGAAATTTTAAACAATTTGACAACTTGTCATTTGTGAAAACTTGTCGTTTAGTAACTTTTTTTAACATAAAACCTCCTAGAATATCTTCATGTTATAGGGCCTCTGTGTTGATTCCCTTTGTTTTTGCTCACTATGTGCCCAAATTTGCCTTCATTTTACTACACAATGAAAGCTTCACAAAGATAATAATTTGGTGCAACCTTATATCAGTTTATGAAACTTCACACGCGCAACATACTAGGCAAACATGACTTATAGGAGAAGATGGGGCGCGAAACCGATTGCCGATTTTGAATCTAGAGCCTAATTTCCGTTTATGAAAACTAATTACTTAATAACTATTTTTCAAACCGATTGACACACTAAATACTCAAATGGATTCGGATGTCAACGAAACTTGACACGCACAACATACTAGGCACACATGACTTGTAGGAGAAGATGGAACTTAAAACTGATCCCCGATTTTGAATCTAGAGCCTAATTTCCGTTTATGAAAACTTGTTATTTAGGTAGCGTTTGGTAATGTTTACGTTTTTTGTTTATGTTTACAAAATTTTTATGGACTGATTTTTGTTTATTTTTAAAAAAACATAAATTACAAATGCGTTTGGCTTGAATAAAAAGTTTAAAAAATTTTAAAAACATAAACTAAAAAATATGTTTGTTCAGGCCTAAAATATTTATATTTATTTTTATTACTTATGACAATAGGATCACACACATTATAATTGAAAAAAATTATTGAAAAAAGAATTTAATTGGAAAAAAAAACTAGTTTGAAAAAAAATTAATTGAAAAAAATTATTTGAAAAAAAATTAATTGAAGAAAATAATTGAAAAAAAATTATTTGAAAAAAATTTAATTGAAAAAAAAATTATTTGAAAAAAAATTGAAAACTGAAAACGTAAACTCATTTTTTGAGTTTACATTTTTTCCTCAAATTAATAAATTGAGACAATCATTTATAAACTAAAAAAATTATCAAATAAGTTTTTATGACAATATTTTAAATTTTTGTAAATATAAACCGAAAAATGAAAACAGAATGGTTACCAAACAGACCCTTAATAACTCTTTTCGAAATTGATTGACATACTAAAATGCTTAAACGGGTTCGGATGTCAACGAAACTTGACACACACAACATACCAGGCACACATGACTTATAGGAGAAGACAAAACTCGAAATCGATTCCCAGTTTTGAATCTGGAACCTAATTTCCGTTTATGAAAACTTATTCTTTACAAACTCTTTTTCGAACCGGATGACACACTAAAATGCTCAAACAGGCTCGGATGTCAACGAAACTTGAGATGCACAACATACTAGGCACACATGACTTGCAGGAGAAGACAGAACTCGAAACCGATTTCCGATTTTGAATCTAGAGCCTTCTTTCCGTTTATCAAAACTTGTTCTTTACAAACTCTTTCCGAACCGGATGACATGCTAAAATGCTCAAATAGGCTCGGATGCCAACGAAACATGACATGCAACACCTAGTAGGCACACATGACTTGTAGGAGAAGACAGGACTTGAAACTGATTCCCGATTTTGAATGTAGATCCTAATTTCCGTTTATGAAAACTTATTACTTAATAATTCTTTTTCAAACTAGATGACACACTAAAATACTCAAACAGGTTCAGATGTCAACGAAACTTGACATGCACAACATACTAGGCACACATGACTTATAGGAGAAGATGGAACTCGAAACCGATTCTCGGTTCTAAATATGGAGCCTAATTTCTGTATTTGAAAACTTATTACTTAATGACTCCTTTTCAAACCGGTTGACACACTAATATGCTCAAACGGTTTTGGATGTCAACGAAACTTGACATGCACAACAAACTAGGCACACATGACTTGTAGGAGAAGACGAAACTCAAAACCGATTCCCGGTTTTGAATCTAGAGCCTAATTTCCGTTTATCAAAACTTATTCTTTACAAACTCTTTTTCGAACCAGTTAACATACTAAAATGCTCAAACGAGCTCGAATGTTACTGAAACTTGACAAGCACAACATACTAGGCACACATGACTTGTAGGAGAAGACAGAACTCGAAACTGATTTCCAGTTTCGAATCTAGAGCCTTCTTTCCGTTTATCAAAACTTATTCTTTAAAAACTCTTTTACGAACCAGATGACATACTAAAATGCTCAAACAGGCTCAGATGTTAACGAAACTTGACATGCACAACAAAGTAGGCACACATGACTTGTAGGAGAAGATGGGACTTGAAACCCATTCCCGGATTTGAATGTAGAGCCTAATTTCCATTTATGAAAACATATTACTTAATAACTCTTTTTCAAACCAGATGACACACTAAAATGCTCAAACGGGTCCGGATGTCAACTATACTTGACATGCACAACATACTAGGCACACATGACTTGTAGGAGAAGACAGAACTTTAAACCGATTCTCTGTTTTAAATCTAGAGCCTAATTTCCATTTATGAAAACTTATTACATAATAACTCTTTTTCAAATCGGTCGACACACTAATATGCTAAAACGGTTTCGGATGTCAACGAAACTTGAGACACACAACATACTAGGCACACATGACTTGTAAGAGAAGACAAAACTTGAAACCAATTCCCGGTTTTGAACCCATAACCTAATTTCCATTTATGAAAACTTATTCTTTACAAACTCATTTTCAAACCGGTTGACACACTAAAATGCTCAACCGGGCTCAGATGTCAACGAAACTTGACATGCACAACATACTAGGCACACATGACTTGTAGGAGAAGACAAAACTCAAACGGATTCCTGGTTTTGAATCTAGAGCCTAATTTCTGTTTATGAAAACTTATTACTTAATAACTCTTTTTCAAACAAGATGACACACTAAAATGCTCAAACGGGCTTGGAGGTCAACGAAACTTGACACGCACAACATACTAGGCACACAAGACTTGCAGGAGAAGACGAAACTCGAAACCGATTCCCGTTTTTGAACCTAGAGCCTAATTTCCATCTATGAAAACTTATTCTTTACAAACTGTTTTTCGAATTGGTTGACACACTGAAATGCTCAAACAGGCTCAGATGACAATGAAACTTGACATGCACAACATACGAGGCACACATGACTTGTAAGAGAAGACAGAACTCGAAACCGTTTCCCGATTTTGAATCTAGAGCCTTCTTTGCGTTTTTGAAAATTTATTCTTGACAAACTCTTTTTCAAACCGGTTGACACTAAAATGCTCAAACGGGTTCGGATGTCAATGAAACTTGATACGCACAATATATTAGGCAAACATGACTTGTAGGTGAAGACAAGACTCGAAATTGATTCTCGGTTTTGAATCTAGAGCCTAATTTCCGTTTATGAAAACTTATTACTTAATAACTCTTTTTTAAACTGATTGACACACTAAAATTCTTAAACGGGTTCAGATGTCAACGAAACATGACACGCACAACATACTAGGCACACATGACTTGTAGGAGAAGACGGAACTCGAAACCGATTTCCGGTTTTAAATCTAGAGCCAAATTTCCGTTTATGAAAACTTATTACTTAATAACACTTTTTCAAACTAGTTGACACACTAAAATGGCCAAACGGGTTCGGATGTCAACGAAACTTGACACGCACAACATACTAGGAACACATGACTTGTAGAAGAAGACAGAACTCGAAACCAATTCCCGGATTTGAATCTAGAGCCTAATTTCTGTTTATGAGACCTTATTCTTTACAAACTCTTTTTCGAACCGGACGACACACTAAAATGCTCAAACAGGCTCAGAGGTCAACGAAATTGGACACGCACAACATACTAGGCACACATGACTTGTAGGAGAAGACAGAACTCGAAATCGATTTTCGATTTTGAATCTAAAGCCTTCTTTTCTTTTATCAAAACTTATTCTTTACAAAGTCTTTTCCGAACCGGATGACATACTAAAATGCTCAAACAAGCTCGGATGTCAACGAAACTTGACATGCACAACATAGTAGGCCCACATGACTTGTAGGAGAAAACAAAACTCGAAACCGATTCCTGGTTTTGAATCTAGAGCCTAATTTCTGTTTATGAAAACTTATTACTTAATATCTCTTTTTCAAACAAGATGACACACTAAAATGCTCAAACGGGTTCGGCTGTCAACGAAATTTGACATGCACAACATACTAGGCACACATGACTTGTAGGAGAAGACCGAACTCGAAACCAATTCCCGGTTTTAAATCTAGAGCCTAATTTTCATTTATGAAAACTTATTACTTAATAACTCTTTTCCAAACCGGTTGGCACACTAAAATGCTGAAACGGTTTCGGATGTCAACGAAACCTGACATGCACAACAAAATTGGCACACATGACTTGTAGGAGAAGACGAAATTTGAAACCGATTTCCTGTTTTGAATCTAGAGCCTAATTTCCGTTTATGAAAACTTATTCTTTGTAAACTCTTTTTCAAACCAACGTAACTTGACATGCCTAACATACTAGGCACACATGACTTGTAGGAGAAGACAAAACTCGAAACCGATTTCCGGTTTTGAATCTAGAGCCTTCTTTCCATTTATCAAAATTTATTCTTTACAAACTCTTTTCCGAACCGGATGACATACTAAAATGCTCAAACAAGCTCGGATGTCGACGAAACTTGACATACACATGATAGTAGGCATGCATGACTTGTAGGAGAAGACGGGACTCAAAACCGATTCCCGATTTTGAATGTAGAGCCTAATTTCCATTTATGAAAACTTATTACTTAATAACTTTTTTTCAAACCAGATGACACACTAAAATTCTCAAACGAGTTCAGATGTCAATGAAACTTGACATGCACAACGTACTAGGCACACATGAATTGTAAGAGAAGACGGGACTCGAAAACGATTCCCGGTTTTAACTCTAGAGCCTAATTTCCGTTTATGAAAACTTATTACTTAAT